AGGTTACTGTTGATCATCTGTCCGTCATCGTATAAAGCCCGCCCTGACAATTTAATTGGCCCGCCAGATATTGTGCGAGCATACTCGCGCTACTATTGAGCAAAGCCAGACCGAACTTCCCGACCTCAAACGTTGTGGGCGGGACTAAGTTCGGAATGGCACCCAGGCTAATAAAGAACAGGCTGATGCTCACAATCCAAAGTCCTCAATGTTTCCGAATGTCTCTGATTCAGCGCACCTTATTCTAATCTTGCACTGAAAAAAAATAATGCAACCGCTTTTGGCATTTACTTAATCATATTTAGCCACAATTTTTTTTATGTCCTACTCTGCTAATATGAAAAAATTGTGTTAAAGTAACCAAATACGATTAAGTAAATGCCAAAAACGGTTGCATTATTTTTTTTCAGTGTGGATAAACTCTTCAGAGGGCGTCAAATGCTACAGAAGCCTGTTAGGTCATTTATTTGTTTACGTCATGTGTATGGAAGCAAGGAAAAGGCTAACACAGGCAGGACTTTGAACTTTTTAAAAAAATATCCTGGTAGAAGCTGAGCTCTCTCTGGATTTCAATTCAATACAGTTTAGTTATACAGCACCAATTATCATCTCAAAGCGCTTAACAGAAACAATTCAACCAGATCATACAGTCAGATTGGTTCAAAGTTTTCCATCTAAGGAAAACCAGCTGATTAAATCAATGTTTTGACTCGAAAGCAATCCCTCACACCAAGCATGTTTGGTGAGAGGAATTGCTTTTGAGTCCTTTATCTCCCTTTTCATCGCTCTCATCATAGACTCTTATAGGAAAACTTGATGATTCACAGATTATCAACGCCAAGAGACTTGGCTAATTATACAGAAAAAATGACTAAAATGTATGAAGAGCAGGTAATTAGGAGGGCTGAGTCCATCTTGGATGATTATACCATCCCCTACACAGCGAATTCCAGTTTCTACCCTCTGGTTCCCATTTTAACTATCCACCAGCTCGGACCAATAGATACAAACACGCCTTTATTCCCTCTATTGTTCAGCTGCTAACTCTACTAGGAAAAGCAGAGTGTCATATGTTGCATGCATATAGGCTATGCTTTTATTCATCCCCTGCACTGCACATATTTATTTATCCACCTTACTTTTATCTTTCTAAAATAGTTTCTGTGTTTTTATTGTGAAATGTGAATGTGTGTGTGAAAGGTGTACTACTACTGCACAAAAATTGTCCATTCTTGGACAAATAAAAGCTACTAACTGACCTAATTATACTGTAGCAGCCATTCAAAATGGCCCTTCCCAAACAAACGCCAGTCGAATGGCCGCCTACTCCCCTGCGACACCCAGCAAAATCCCTCCAACTTCCAGCCACTGGCCTTCTCCTGGGCATCCAGTTTGTTTTACTCTGACTCCACCCTTTGACTGAAATACAGGGTCTGACCAGGTTAGTCTTTACGGCACTAGTGGCTCGTTTTCTGACAGTAGGCTGACAGGAAAGGGGGTATGAGAGAGTGGGAGAGACATGCAGCAAAGGACCAAAGGCCGGATTCAGTCCGGGTCGGCAGCGTCGAGGACTAAGGCCTCCGTACATGGGTTATGCGCACTAACCACTGCACCCCACTTCAAGCCCAGATTAATGATTAAAAAGAAATTGTAGGGGACCAGCCAAGGGCCCATCAAGGATAATAGGGACATTTTTAATGTCTACTACTGTACTTTAAGTAACTGTGGAAACTTCACATTAGACCTTGAGCAACTTAAAGTTCTGAGCCTCTTCATTCTTCCTCTTGACTTCCAAATTAAAACCAAACTATTCTTAAATTTCCTTGAATCAGAGAGCATGAACTCCCTTTTATTGGTCCAATATGTCATTATGATACAAACTCACAAGTGAATCATATACATACAATCATCCTAACAGCCCGAAATCCAAACAAAACAAAAACTGAGAGTAAGCAATTCATCACTTACACAGCATTAAATATCTCTACTCTTGCAAGTCTGACACCATCTTATAATAGGCAAACTCTGTCCTAAGGCGGCAGCTACCAGCCCTCTGAACATCAGGTCAACATCTGCAGAACCTTTCTCCTTCATTTTATTTCTCCTGCTGAGCCAAATGCTCATCTTTGCCTGACCAAACAAAAAATTAACCAGACAAATATTACGNGAGGACTAAGGCCTCCGTACATGGGTTATGCGCACTAACCACTGCACCCCACTTCAAGCCCAGATTAATGATTAAAAAGAAATTGTAGGGGACCAGCCAAGGGCCCATCAAGGATAATAGGGACATTTTTAATGTCTACTACTGTACTTTAAGTAACTGTGGAAACTTCACATTAGACCTTGAGCAACTTAAAGTTCTGAGCCTCTTCATTCTTCCTCTTGACTTCCAAATTAAAACCAAACTATTCTTAAATTTCCTTGAATCAGAGAGCATGAACTCCCTTTTATTGGTCCAATATGTCATTATGATACAAACTCACAAGTGAATCATATACATACAATCATCCTAACAGCCCGAAATCCAAACAAAACAAAAACTGAGAGTAAGCAATTCATCACTTACACAGCATTAAATATCTCTACTCTTGCAAGTCTGACACCATCTTATAATAGGCAAACTCTGTCCTAAGGCGGCAGCTACCAGCCCTCTGAACATCAGGTCAACATCTGCAGAACCTTTCTCCTTCATTTTATTTCTCCTGCTGAGCCAAATGCTCATCTTTGCCTGACCAAACAAAAAATGAACCAGACAAATATTACGCTGTTGTGCTACTGAGTATCTGGGACCAAAAATAAACAGTTCGTTATTAAAACTGAATCCTAATCCGCTCACCCACTGCTTTAACAATGAGAAGAGAGGAACCAGTCTGGAACATCCGAGCCAGAGACGCTGTAGCGTTTCCTTGGATCAGAGAACAACTGGGCTTCACAAATATCCTCTAAACTTTCCATTCAAAAGGATGCTACACTCTGTAAACAAGGCTCTTTTGCAGTGACCTTTTGTGTCTTATGCTCCCTCTGGAGGTTGACAGCGACTGTCTACTGTGGTAATGTCGACTCAGCAGGATTCCTAATGATGGTGCAGGCCATAATTTAACATTTCTGTATTTTCATTTTATTGTTTTTATGTAATATTATAAATTACTGAAATTAATTACATATTTATTGATTGTTTTTTTTTAATTTATTATTAGGCGTCTGTAGTTCTTTAAAAATTATAGTGCTGCAGGAAATAAACCGCTCACAACATGCTGAATTGGCACTGAATCTTTGCTTTGTGAACATGAACACGGTTGCATGCGCTGCTCAGTCATGGAGGCGTTCTCCGGTTTGCTTACAGGGCAGAGAAGCATCTCTGCATACGGGAAGTCGATTGACTCTTGTGATAAATTGATTGGGTGTAAGTGCTCCACATGCGGCGGCGAGGGGTAATCAAGCTGAATGGATGAGGCTTTTGTTTTGCTTTAGTGGCAGAGTTAAACGAAGGGAAACGTTTCTCTGAACCTCCGTTCTCCGTGCAGAAATTGCCCAAAGATCCGTCTCCGACTCCCCTCCTGTCTCCCTCTGTGTGCCACGTCAGTTGGCCCGTTCCTTCAGATCCTGCTCTGAGCGGAGCTGATGGCTTTTTATCGATTTCACAGTGTGTGTTTTTGTTTGTGAAAGAAGACATGAAGGCTTGGAGTGTTTGTCTGTGGGTGTGCTCCAGCCTGCCTGTCCTCTTTGCTTGCACAGCTCTCTATCCAGCTTGCAAAACAAATGTGAGCAGGAGTGATATCAAGAGATGGAGAACATGCATGGAATGAAGGATTTGTTTTGGGATAAAAAGCATCTCTTTTACTGTCTCCTAATAACATTCTCCTTGTCTTTTTTCCTCTCTTGCTTCCTTTCTTGCCTCCTGCAGAACGACAGTGTGGCGGAGAGTAACGAGGGGGATCCTCCGGAAAGCCTGAACACTCTGCTGACTGACATCTCTCTGGTGAGCTCCGCAGACACGGCCCTGCTGGATTTAGTCAGAAAATATGAGAAAAGAGTCCTGGGGGAGGGTGAAAGGAGATGGGAAAGATGAGGAGAAAGAATGAAGGTGGTTGAGACATGCCTTCAGGCTTTCAAAAACTGAAGTGAATTGAACTGAGAGGGAACCATGTAAAATTAGAATTTATAAAATGTGGGAATGAGGTACAATTTAGGCCTTCTTGTCCTTTTTCTTCCAGAAAGCAGCTCATGGATCCATCATTTTTGGTATAATTTGATTTTTTTTTTTTTTTGCTGCATCTTGTGCATACACTGGCATTGCCCTCATGTTTCAGTGTCCATTTCACCGTTTGAGTTTATTCACACTCATTTAAAAAAACACAGGATATCAGCGGAATCCTTCCAGGCTGGAAGCACCTTCAAGGCAACTACAACGGCTACTGAAGCTGATGGAGGGGTTACGATTCTTTTCAATACATCTGTGTGAATATGGAAGAGTGATTGAACAATAAACAGTCAATTGTTTTTTTGTGCATTACCTGGAAAATACCAGTGCAGGGAGAAGCAGTGGTTCTGAATAGTCTACAAATCAATGGACAGATTTCAGGTTTATGGGTTAAAAAATGTAAGCCCTGGTAAATCATTTCCAGACGTCTTGTCTTGTGATTAAGATATGCTGCTTCATTAAAAATAAACTGATATGTTGATATGAGCTGTGATTATGGGGCGTGTTTCGAACAAACCAGGAAAAAAAATTCCTCTGCACTCAATTGGATCGAACTACAACCAATAAGAGCAACAGAGTGCG